TATTCTATTAAATTTATTTCTAGGCTTTTAATATTTTATGATGGGTGCGATCTTAAATTATCTGATAATGACTATCCGGCGTTTAAAAATACCGCACATGGACGCATTTACCTCACTTCTCATAGGGTTTGTTTATTTCGTCTGATTTTTAGGTAATATTTGTGTCCAAAAAAGCATCTTCTCTTATGTCATTCTCTATGCCATTCGTTAATATGAAAGGTATTCAAATAAAGCAGCCCGTCCTTGGGGCCAATCGTATTGAAGGAAAAGTCTATCCGCAGCAACATGAACCTTGGCAGGTATGTGCTTTTTTGATTTCTCGTCCGTTTATATTCTCTTTACTTTTTAGGGCTCTGTTACATTCTTTCTGACTTTTAATCATGGTGGAGCTATCGAATTTGGAAAGGCTCTACTTCAGCTAGGAAAGTTGGCAACAAGCTCTCAGCATGTGTCTGGTAGCTACCAAAGGATGCCTGCGGCTGCGGATTATTATGCTTGTCCTCCGCCTGCCTATGCTCCTCCTTTTACCGACCCCTTCTACCACTTCGTTCCTCAACATGATGCATTCACTGTTCCTCCAGGTTATCATATGGAGATTTTAGCACATAATCTGCTGTATTTTTTCTTTAGGTGATATTAGGGGCTCAGCCAACTTAAAACCTTTAGTATTGCTTATCCTCATCTTGATCTATTTGCCTAGTTTACTTATATGGCTTTGCCCTATGATACTCATTGTCATATTTTGTATACTTAGAGGATCTACTATAGTATGACCTCTGTTATCTTTAGATATCATCAAAAAATTTGGAAATGCCAACCTATAGATTTCCTTACTGGCTTCGCCGTTTTCTGTTCTTTTTAAGTTCTGCTTATAATATTAACATGGTATAGGATATCGTTTTAACACGAACCTAGTCTCTTGCGCCAATTTAACCGCTTAAAAGCTATATTTTCTAGATTTTTTTGGTAGCATAGATATTAATTTATACTCTTGTTCGACTCATAGATTCTTTCATCCCTCCATGTTTAATGGATCAGTTCCTTAGTTTTATAATTTTTAGCATCCTTTTTTGACTACTTAGTCAACTATACAAGTCTAAAGCTTAGTATGTGTCTCATTTTAGTTCCAATCTGTTGCTTTAGGCCCACTCCGTTTCCTGCTCCCCGAGAACACTTGATTTTCATAATCTTTTGTCTACTACTATTGGGCCACCAACATTAATATTTTGGATTTTAGCTATCCCGATTTATTTTTACTCCAATTTGTTTCATAGCAAATAGTTTATTCCAGTACTCCACGCCACCTCCTTATCCTGGTGCGGTGCCAGTAGTAGCGCCTTTCCAGCCCAGCCCAAGCGGACCAATGGGACCGCCCTGCTATTCGCCTGGACCCTACCCCGCTCCAAGTTATCCCACAAACGGAGCTTCATTTACTGGCGTTTCATCTAATAGTTATCCTATGTGTCCTTACCCTGGTGGTACGATAAGTAACACTCATCAGCAGGCTTCGCCAAACTACCTACCAGTCGATGGAGCTTCTAGTATGACACCAGCTCAAGCAGGTAACTGATTCTGTTTCGTTAATATCTGTTTTATTCATTCAAACAAAATTGGAGCTTGCCACTTAAATAAGAAAATCTTATTTTATCTTAACACCAATGTATCCATACGAATGCGTGGATTTTTTGTCGAATAATCTTTAGTTTTAAGTGCTTTGGAGATCTTTATCTTGTTTGAAAATGCATGAATTGATTCGTAAGCTCATCTAACCAGGAGACGATGACTCATTCTCGTTGTATTGCAGTTATTTGGCTTTAATATGAACTTCAGGTTGGCAGTCCACGAAACCTTCATCGCTTCTGATGAAAACGGCTGAGCTTATGTCCATCATATGGCGGAAATTATCAGAGCTGGAACTCATTATTGTAAGTTTCACGTTAACACTAAGTCAAAAAGACTATCCGGTTCTATCTTACCCCTTATATTTACTCATACATAAAAAATGAAAATGAATAGGCATAGATTGGTCTGGAATGGTTTGGCTAATTGTCCTTCAGAGCTTGACATTTGGCTT